CACCGTGGACAGCTCCAAGGCTCGCACCTCCCTGGACGCGCTGAAGATCAGCCTTCGCCAGCTCAGGTGGAAGGAGGTGAGGCCCGGCCCGCCGCGCGGGCACAGGGGGGTCGTCCTGCCGGGCCTGGCCCCCGCGCCGCCTCCCCGGGTCAGCTCAGCCCTCCGTGCCCTGGCTCCCCGACAGCTTCTGATGTCTGTAGCTCTGGCCTCCTGGTGTCTATGTGTGTCTTCTCCGCTGCTGGCTTTCGTTTCTTCATTTGAGTTCTAGTGAAAGTTTTGTAAACTTTAGTGCTCGGAGTTCCACTCTTGGGCCACGTTTGTACTCGACTGCGCCTCACTACACCCTGCCAGCCACTTAGCTGTGCGACCTTGAGCAAGCTGCTTTTCTTCTGTTAACCTCTGCAAAGTGAAGCCGGTTAGTTACTGTCGGGGGCTCACCGCCTAGTGCTCGCACAAGTCCTGAGTGACAACCTACTTTATCCCTCTCCCTCCACCACCGCAGACACTGCTGTGTGATTCAGGGCGTGGAGCAGGTGTCAGTGAGTGGAAAGCGCGAGTCGGGAGATGAATCACTCACCCCTGAATTCGTTTCTGTCCCTTTAGGGTGTGGGGCAAAGCACCAATGAATCCGAGAGGTTTCTGTTGCCACCAGCCAAGTAAATCAAGGCCGGGTGACTTTGTTGACAGCATGGAAGCTATTGGCGAGCTTTTGGGAATGGTCTGCTAAAGATTCCAGGTCTGCCACAGAGAGCACCAGGACAGGTGCTGAGCCTGGGCCAGGGCTATGGTAGATGTGGTTTAATGACTTTGGAAACTGGAGAGGTGACCGCAGGAAAGTCCACTGTGGTCAGAATGTTGATGTCCCATTGGTAAAGAGTCTGCTTGGAGGGAAACGAAGAAGGGGGCGTGGGGTGGGGTGGGGGCTAGCTGCTGGAGAACTACCAGGTGTTAGGGCCCCTCAGTCTTGACTTTCACACCCTGGATACTGGGAAAGGATTGGGAAGACTCAGTTCTACAGTGTCTAGGCAGATAAAACCCTATGTCCAGCCCAAAGAGAGGAGGGCCAAAAGATAAACTTGTCAGTGTGCAGTCTAGTGAGGCAAGTCCAGGGATAGACACTGGCTAAGGACTCAGTCTAGCCAGCCAGGGCCTGTGTTCAACTTAGTCCAGAGAAGGGACAGGAAGCAGGCTTGGTCTTGTTCACTGGGCCTAAGCACAGCTCAGCCAGTCCAGCACAGGCTCATTCACTTATTTTGTGGTGATAACCAAGTTGTGTGCTGGGCCCAGGCAGCGACACCTAAGATGGCCCTTGCCTTCAGGCGTTTGTAGTTCAGTAGGGAGTGAAATGCAGTGAGTAGTCCCAGCATTCGTAGGGCTGCCGCTGCCGCCGCCACCGCCGCTGCCACCGCCGCTGCCAAACTCCTTTCCCAGCTATTCCCACGGCTTACTCTGTGGCCTCTTGAGACCTCTGATCAGATGCCACATCCCGAGAGAGGTCTCCCAGACGATGCCCCCAGCCATCTCCAGCCCTTGCTGTCATTTCGTAGCACGAACCCCTCCCTGACGTTGTGTCTTGTCTGCTTATTGTTTGTCTTGTTCACCAGAATGTAAGCTCTTCGAGGGCAGGCGTCCTGTTCTGTTGCTGCTGTACTCAGGTGTCTGACATATGGAAGTTGATCAATAAATGTTTGTTGACTGTATAAACACATTATGTGACGTGTGTTTCTGTGTGCTGTGGGGTGCAGAGGAGCCAGCTCCAGCTCTGCTTCCTGGGAGAAGAGAAGCCCAAATGAGTCTTGAGTGTTGACAGTGGGCCTAGTTATTTAGTGGCTGGACCCTGGGTCTCTGGTGGAGGGAGCCGTGTGGCCTGGCAGAGGTGAACTCAGTGCTTTGTAGGCAGCAATGTTTGGCTGGATCACAGAGTGGGAGTCAGGTGGTGAGAGAGAAGGTGGCAGAAGTGAGCTGGAGTCAGATCGTGTGGTGGAACCTGGGCCTGTTCTTGAAAAGAAGCCTTGTAAGCCATTGCAGGAGTCCGAGGCTCTTCAGGCAATCAGCTGTACTACTTTGGGCGACCCAGTGAAGTTCTTCAGGCCTCAGTTGGCTCGTGTGAACAATGAGGGTAGGTAGAGCAAATCCAGGCTCCCTGTCTCCCACTGTCCACAGTGATGACAGTGTTAAACCTTCACCAGTGGGCCCAGCAGAGTGGGCTCTTTCCAGTCCCTACCTTGACTGCCCTCCATCCCAGGCCCGCCTTCTGACACTTGTAAAACATGTTGGCATGTAGGTGAAGATGCTCATTCTAGCATGTTTGAACATAATTCAGACACACACACACACACACACACACACACACACACACACACACACCTTCTCTGCAGGTGTGTAGTAAGACCCTTCCCACCATAGCCCTGAGCTAGCCCATGAATCCAGAAATGTGCTCAACTACTGGGAATACTTTCCCTTCCCTTTTTAATTCCACACATATCTAAAAACCACCATGAGTCCACAATAATGAATGCTTATGCAGCTCTTACAGTATACCAGACAAGTTTTAAACTTCCTAGCCACTCACTACAGTAAGTGCATTATTGTACCCATTTTATAGTACAAAAATGCTAACTTACACTGGGTCATATAGTGCGTTAGGTGCAGAGCTAGCATTTGAGGTAAGCAGGCTTCAGTTCCCAGCTCATCTGCAGACTGCAGCCATGGATATGAATAAACTAGGCTCCTTGTTGTGCAAGATCTCTCACTGAAGAGACACTGAGCTGCAAAGCAGATGATCACAGTCTGAGTGGGCAAAGGAAGTCCCACACAGTGGGCTCAAGGCAGGGAGTCAGGAGCAGGTTTCAGGTATAGGAGTGACATGCTTAGAGAGCATGTGGGGAACAGCTCAGAGAGCCAACTGCAGGCCATGCCAAGAAGCACGTGTTTCTATTTGCACTGCCCTGCAGCTTCCCTTGCCCACTGTGCCTCATGCTAACTTGGATGGTTCAGTTTTCAGTTCTGGACAGGTCTAATTCACCTGTATCCACATGTTCAATTTGGTTCTGCAAGAGAAAATTCACAGATGGTAGCTCTGTAAATTTGTAGATGTCAATAAAGCTATTCTCAGTTAGCAAAGTCACATGTCCCCAAATCACCACTGACCAAGTGGGATGGTTCCTGGCTCACATTTAAAGGCTCTGTAGAAAATTCTCTTCCCATCTCCTACAAGCTTCTTTTTGTTTGTTTGTTTTTTAACTTGCCATCTTCATTAAAGGAGGCCTTGGAGAAAAGACATCACAGAGAATAGATGCCTCAAGTGTGTGAACTGCCTTCCTTGAAGATGTCAGTTGTGTGTGGGTGCATGATGCCACAGGCACCAGGTAACATGCATGGGAGCTCTGAGAGATTTGATAGTAGTGCATTTGTTGGCAATGGTTTGCATAGCCCCTGTCCTGAGAGCTGTCTCAAACGCTCCAGTGTGTCTTCTGCACATGCACACTACTGCATGGTCTTACCATTTGTGTGGTGGGAGCTACTATTTATTAGGTGTATGTGCTAGGTAGGGTACCGAGTTCTTTGTGCTCATTAAAAGTGGATTAAGGAGCTGGAGAAATGGCTCAGTGGTCTAGAGCACTGGTTCTTCTTCCAGGCGACCCAGGTTCAGTTCCCAGCGCCCATATACAGCACTCACAACTGTAACTCCAGTTCCAGTAGATCTGATGCCTCTTTCTGGCCCCTGTCAGCACTTTATGACCATGGTGTGCAGACATACATGCAGGCAAAACACCCCCACACATAAAAATAATAAATAAATTAATAAATGTAGCTTTTGTTTTTTTTTAGAGTAGATCAAGGTACTGGTATAATGACTCAGTGGTTAGAGGTGTTTGCCTCCAGGCCGGGTGACCTGGAGTTTGATTCCTGGGACCCACATAGTGGAAGATGAGAACTGACTATTGACCCCGTAGGTTGTCCTCTACCTTCCACACAAACACCCTGGCATGCCCACATGTACACACACACACACACACACACACACACACACACACACACACACACACACACTTGGAGCGATGGCTCAGCAGAGGACCTGGGTTTGCTTCCCAGCATCCACATGGTGAATCACAGCTATTTGCAACTCCAATTCCCAGGGATCAGTGCCCTCTGCTGGCTTTCATGGGCACTAGATCATGTGGTACCCAGATGTACATGGAGGCAAAGCACCCATACACACAGAATAACAAAACAATTTAAATGAGTAACTGTAGTAAAACATTTAAAAGCAAGTGGATGAAGCACTTCCTATGGGTCTTTTGTTTCTGCCTCACACTAGGCTCAGGCAGATGCTAACATCATTTCCTGGTTAGAAATGAGAAAACCAAGGTTTGAGAGAGATTGGTACAGGCCTAGCCCAAGCCTCATAGGTGACACGTGGCAGAGCCATCCAGGACTAGAATTTGTCACCGGTGTACAATCTTAAACCATCTTTTTTGCTATCCTTTGTTAAAAGTCATCCTGCAAGGACTAGACCATCACCCACCACCATTATCCCAGGTAATGGTTGGAGAAAGTGAGGCAGGAGCAGCGTCTGAGCAGGAGAGGCAGCTTTAAACAGCTCTCAGGAGTGTTCCAAAGCTCCTTTTGTGTGCTTTATAATTCTCCACTTCTGACCCTTTTCCCACTCAACCTGTAATTCTCAAATGACAGCAAGTCACTCAGAGCCAAGAGAGCAGTATTACAAACACTGCTTAAAATAGAGCATGCTGAAACACACCCGGCCTGGAGCTAAACACTCAGCACCCACTCCTTCCACGGCACAGGGGGGATTCCGGGCTGTCTGATGGCTCCTCTGTGGAACACTAGCCTGTGATTTGCATTTCTCTGATTCCTTCTGGAAAAAGGCATAATACAAAGTGAAAATCAGGGTGCTTTGCCCCCTCTTTCGAGTTTCAATGATAGTGCAATTTATGTCATATTTTTGAAAAGAGCATTATACTTGAGAACAGTTTATACCCCACTCCATCAAATGTTCTCCTTCAGCAGACATGTTATTTTAACGTCTAATATACCAGAATTTCCCCTTTGCTA